AAAAAAAAAAGTAGAAAACAGATGAAAAGCAAAAGGGAAAAGTGAACTTCGTAAAAATACCATACATGCCAGACCCTTCAAATATGATTTCCTGCATATTGCACTTTAAAAAGCATGATATTACAACATGCTCTCGCATGCAGGGGCCAAAAATATGAAAGAATAAAGCCTTGTTTGATCTCGAGAGTTGAATGGATGTCATTTGACCCATCCATGATCTGATCCTAGACCTAGGACATGTCAGATGATTTTCCACTCAATGAGTGTCTGCACCACTCCCTTGTCTCTTCCCCACCCTCTTGTTGGACAGATAGTGCTGACACGCTTCCTGTTATGGGCTGCTGCTCCGGCTCTCGCGCCTGCTGGCACCGAGCCGCCTGTGGCTTGGGCACAGCACTTCAAAAGCCATTTCTGGCACACGGACGAAATATTTTGAAGTGAGTTTGGGTGGTTCCCAAAACGACCTGCTCCAACCGAGCAGAAAGAAAGCTTACATTATCTCATGTAAAAGACCCAGATCCTCTCCAGAGCCTGCCAGAGGTTTATGAAATGCTGCGTTACTTCTGAGAAGCCTTGACAAAAATAAAAAGCATAAACGTGATGCTGAGATAACAGCTCAATTGTCTGCTCTTAATTTCTCAGGATCTATAATGTACTTGATACCTGTCTTGTAAACGGTGCAAAGTAATTGTTTTGTGGTTGGTCAAAGCCAATTGCATGTGTGATGGAAACTATGGAAGATGAAAGGGAGGGAAACTAAAAATGACACAGAAGTTATGGCCACTACTAACACATCCTTTAAAATCAGTGTTTTATATGATCTTTCATTACTTAGTGAAAGTTTGTTTTACAATTAGAGCTTGAGAGCTTTGGAGAGAACATGTAGGGTGAAAAGCAGATGTACATTATATTTTGGTACAGAAGCAGTGGTTGCTGGAGTCTTTGACAACAACAACATCTTGATAAAGTGGAGTAACAGGTACGTTGTTTTCTTATTAATGACTGGGCACGTAGCTGGCATTCTAGCATGTTGTATTCTGGAGCTTTCTGCTCAGCAGTTCTTTTCCTGTAGTACATAAATTGCAATGGCTCTGAAGTTGAGTAGTGCTACAAAACACCTTGCGCTGCAGATGAGCAATGCAGAGGCTCAGCTAGAAGAAAGCTGAGCTGCTTCTCTCCACATCAGAAAAACAGTTTGGCTGTGTTAGAAGTGTGCATTTGGTGCCTGTGTTGTGGGACCTGGCACCATCTCCTCCTGGGAAGCATGTGGGATGGGGGAAGGCAGCCTCCAGCTTTGTCCCCACCTGCTGGCTGGCAGGTTTGATAAATCAGGTGGGGAAAATTGGCTGTGTAAATAGCTTTTAAAGAGCAGCGCATCTTCTTCAGTCTCCCTTTTTGGGGTATGAGATGGGGAGAGTCTAAATATGGGAAAGCTGTGAGGGAGAACAGCAAATTGGCATGGTTCTTGCTGGGGAGCGGTGAGCAGCAGGACAGCAGCATCACTCCAGTACAGCCTGCAGCAGTGGGAGCCTCCGTGCCACCACGTGCATCACCCGAGTTGGAAGGGACCCACAAGGATCACTAAGTCCAACCCCTGGCTCCACACAGTACCACCCAAAATCCAAACCCCATGTTTGAGAATAGTGTCCAGAGACTGACAGTGAAGTCTCAACTTGGGATATTTCTCTTTACAATGGTTTAAATAATTGCTATATCACATTGTTGGTCAAGCGGTCGCTTTCTGAGAGAAGTATCTGTGGGACATTTAACACTTTCTTCCTTCAAAATGTTTTTCTTCTTTCTAGCTTTTCTCCTTTAACATGGCATGACCAAACGGGGCAGGTGGAAACCTGAGCACAGGTGTGTCCAGGTGAATTTGGTGTTGGGTTTTTTTTTACTCTTTATGTATAGTGATCTAAGATGAAATCTGTTCTCTCTTTTGGCAGATAACTGCGAATTTACCTAATCTTGGACATTAGGCTATGAACAAAATAAATGCTGGACAGTACTTAGGCTGTTGCAGGGGAAGAAGGTGAAATTTTGCCCTGCTGTGTGTAATTATAACTTGTGTGTGATGTGTCCATCGTGGTACCGGTAAGCAGAAGTGCACTGCGTTCGAGGTATTGCTTGGTGGTGAACTCCATCCGTGAGTATTCAGATCATCTGTGGTGAGATTAATGTTGTTAACACTGCAATCTCCTGCTTCATTGAGCTGGTTATATAGGTCATCATTTTTGTACTTTGCAAACCGTACTTATTTCTTTTCACTATGCAAAGAGGCATGAAGGTGCATTAAGTAATCACGCTGAGATAACAAAAATCAAAGCCTTATTTTTCAGATAACATAGATAAGGAAAATCAAATTTTACTTGCAAAATCAGGGGATTGATCCTAAAATCATGAAAGTGCTTTTGAAAACTGTGCTGTTAGGCTTTTCAGTGTAATTATTTGTTATTCTTCCAGTGAAAGGCCGTTTCTTTCCTCTGCTGTGCCCATAAGGAGGGTTCTGTCACCAACTCGTTGGATAACGTTTAGTACTTCAGTTCATTATAGCAGCTTTCTTTTGCTTATTCAAAACGCATAACTGATGGAACGCATTTGGCCTGTTTATTGGAACATAATTGTCAATCAAGTTTGCAACACAAGAATTGTTGCAAGTGCAAAATTCCCTTTCCTTGAGCATCCTGCAGTGTTTCTGTTTTTCACCCCCTTAAATATTCCTACCAGTAAAATGCTGTGAAGAAGCTGGAAGGCACTGTGTTCATTGTCAGCTGAAAGAGTCCACTGCAGCCCTTTGAGAGTGGTTTTTTTTTCCTAATGCTGGCTTGTGACTGCACTGAAAGGGCAGCTGTAAACATGAGGACTTTGTTCTGCCTGCTGCTCTTCAGCTGCAAAGAACTTGATTTCTTGATGAAAAGGGAAGTGAAGAGTAGTACTGGCTAGATAACAAGTGTTGAAAGAGAAGCTGTGCTGTACATCTTAATAGCACGATCTGTGTATCTCAGTTGGGCAGAAAAATGATAAATTTTTCCACTTATCTGCTCATTTGAAGTCAAACAAGCTTTCTCAGAGCAGACTTTTCAAGCTGAGGGCAGATGTCGAAGTAGCTGATCCTAGTGCTGCTTTGTTTTGTGACAGGACAGTCCTCCATCAGCATGGATGCCTCCACCCCACTGGAACTGGTGGCCTTGGTGTGTCTCAGCCACCACTGACCTGCATGTGACTGTGATGGCTTAACGTTGGCAATTAATAGAGGTAATGTGATGCTATCAACATTTCACCATGGCCCAGTGCCACTGTTCTCAATGAAAGTCCATGCTTTAGCTTCAACACATACATGTCTTCCTAGCGTGCTAATTGCAACTTTTTCTCCTTTGCCAGAAATTCAAAATGCCAAGAATGTTACTTAGAAAGAAGCATGTGATCCAGATTTTCTGGTCTGCCCAAGCTGTGTTTGAACCAAGACCAGGCAAGGGAAAACAAGTGTGACTTGGAGCTATTTTTGATGGCTTGATCCTGGGACTAGTCCAGCTTCTGCAACAAGTTAGAACTGCTCTGGTTTCATGCAAGCCCTGCTTGAATTGATGGCATCATGGTATGTGAATCTGTCCCCCTTTTGATTGGAGTCCATCTCCCCGTGCTGTGGGCTTGCAGAGCTAATGTATTCCCAGCGTGGCAGAGTACAGCCTTACTGCATTATGTCTGTAGAGAATGCTGCATCCTTTGCACCATCCTTGGGCAAATAACCAATGGTGAACGTGTGTAGCATCCCACTATTGTCATAACTGAGGTGATCCGGACAGCATGTATGTGGGGCTGACCATGGTCAGTGCCATGAACACGAGAGGAGTTGCAGCAAAGGGTACCTCCTGAAGTAACTTCTGATGAAACGTGCTTGATATCCCATTGCTGTTCCAGGATCTGCAGGCTGTGCCTGTGGAGCTTTGCAGGCTGCCAGACGTGATCCCGTCACCTTGGTGTGGTTTTGGCCCCAGAGGAGGCTGCTGCTGAGGGGAACGCCTGCAGGGAACAGAGGTGTGGTCTTCCCTTGTGCCCCTCTGCTCTGTGCACACAGCTGCTTTCGTTTGCTGGCAGTCTGAGATAAGCAGCTCTACTGCTCCTGGAGCAGAATGACTAACCAGCTTAGTTCTTTGTGCTCTGCTTGGCTTTCTAGTGAAATAAAACAAAACCAGAACACAGCCATGCCTACTCTGCTGTGGCATGAACTGTGTTGTTAGAGAATCTCAGCCTGACATTTAAAGTGTGATTTCCCCTCACCCATCCTCCTCCCCCTTCTCCCCCTTTTTTTCTCCTCTGGACCCAGAAGGCTAAAATGTCTGTTTATAGTATGCTGCAATGACTGGCAATATTGAGCTTATTTAGATAGTGGGAATGGTTTTTCTGTGATAACAGAGGTGAAAAGCCTCAGATAAAGCTGAAAGCCTTGTTGGTAATTGGGCTGGAATCGCTCTAATTTGTTAGTCTGTTTTAAAAGTTTTAAATTCAAAATGCAATAAATAGCTGAGTGAAAATGAACACAGATTAAACCCTGCATTCACTCTGTAATAACAAATACTATGGAGAATTTTTCTGAACTTGAAGCTTAAGCACTATGATTACATTCAAACTATCTGATTTTTTTTTATCTGTGCAATAAAGTGCTCAAGCACATCCATCAGCTCTAAATGGATGTGTTATCCCATGACTGTTCCCTGTTCAGCAAAGCTCTTCAGCACGTACTTCAGTCACAGAAAAATCCATGGGTCTGAAGCACATGTTCAGAGTTCAAGGTGTGTTGAAGTGCTTGTTTAACTCCTGTCCCATGCATCTGTAACAGTGTGCTTAACCTTTCAGCTTTGTTTTCGGTGCTTGACAATAAGAAGAAATGTATGCAAATGCTTTGTGTGATGTTCTGTCTCTAGCTACCAAGAGGGAGGTAAGAGTAACCCCTGGAACAAGTGCTTCTCTCATGCTTTTGCTGCTTCAGTAGTTCATCATTCAGTATTGTCAACTCCGGGAGTTTTGCTTCAGCAGAAACTAAAGGTCCGATTCAGAAAGACACGAGACAGCACTTGGGGTCAGTTTAGAAATACGTGAACTCTTTTTGGGTCTCAACAGATTTTCTAGATCTGAAAAACTTGGTCAAGGAATTTGAAGAACTTCTGCAGTACCGGTCTGTAACAGCAGCAGTAATTCTTTAACAGGTTGTTGTATGATACTGAAGGCAGTAAGGGAAGGAAGCACGTACCTGGGTTGTTTGTTAGTGACAAGAGTTGCTTTATTGCAGCACTCAGAGTAAGTATGAGAACGTAATGCAGATTGCCAGCATCAGTGAATAGCAGATGGTAATTTCCCATGGCTGAACAAATAAAAACATGCAAAGAAGGGATAAAGTCAGTGAGTGTGTTAGTGTTCTAGTGTATGTGTTGGAGAACTTCTGCTTATTGGTGTTCCTGGGTGAGAAATGTTTTGATCAATATTCTCAAAAAAGCCATTGAACAACCCCCAAGCACTGTAGAGTGCACTGACAAAAGTGAATGAAGAAATACATTGGGATTTCTTAGTGGAGTGTTCCTCAGTGAATCATTCCCTACTTGTGTGTTACAACACGAGCAGCAGAGACTTCCGTGATCTCAGGTGGGAAACCCTGAAATTGTCCTGTGCCATGCCTTTCTATCATCCCTTCTGGGCGAGCTATAGCTGCTGCTGTTGATGTTTGTGTGTGTGCTGCACTGATTTTGCTCTCATAGGAATTGGTGATCTCAGGCACTTTATTAATGTCAGTAATTATTCAAAGTATCTGAGCCTCGTCTTAACGCCTGCAGTGGGGCCAGTGGGGGAGAATATAGGTTATAGAATACAGTGTGACTGTGTAATTACTCTGAGGTAAACAAAATGATGAAAAGTACACAATCTACATTAGGTGCTATTACTAATTCCTTAGCAGCTCTAGCAATGCCACGAGACCAGCATTACCAACCCTGTGCCCAGCTGCTGCCCAGCAATGGGGCAGCTTGCTCTGCTTGTAGGATCAGCACTGACTGTGGTGTTCGATGCTGCAACTGAAACTTGGCTGTCTAGAGCTGGTCCCTGCATCAAGCAATGCATGCTCATTAAAGTGAATTCAGTCCCATCAGAGATTTGTTAATGACTGCATTAAATTGAGGGTAAGCACTGTTGAGCTCCATGCTATTTATTTCTGCAGTACATGTTGTCTGTATTTTGAGCATTATAGAGGGGCTTTCAACTAAGGAAAGAAATGGGAGAAAAATAAAGCCCTTCAGAGACGAAAACCAACCTCAACTGTGCTGTTTGTAGAGGAACTCGGAGACCCTGATAACGGGAACATTAAAAATGCATATCCATGTGACACAGCTCTATGATCTGCTGGTTAAAGGGCAGTTTGCTGCCAGAGAGGTAGCTTGCTGCTCCCCCAGCAACTGAGCCCTGCAGCCAGCGTGCACAGCGTGGAGCTCCAGGCTGCCATGCCACCAGGCAGTGCTTCTTAGTCTGTCTTTTCCGCATGCTTCGGCACACCCTAGCTTGAGGTGGGACTGGAAGCGAAAGTTCTGGAATACTCAAGGAAGACCATTCTTGTGGTATTTCAATCCCAGCCAAAAACAGGAAGCACTGGAAAACCAGCCAAAAAGAAAAAAATAAAAATTAAAGTAAAAATCAGACTGCTGGGGAGCTTGCCAGCCTGATTTCCAAGCCAAAGGGATTTGGAAAAGCATCCGAATGTTTCAGAGGTTATCCAGACCAGAATAAAAGACTTTCCCTCTCTGCTTGGTGTATGGGTGAATTGCAGCCTTCTGAGCTGTGCTGTCACTGAGGAGGTTCCTGTACTTGGTTCTGCCCTCCCAATCCTAAAAACATATTTCCCCATAGCTGAAGGTGCCTGCTGCCTCAAAATGCCAGCACAAGTCTTATTCCTGAAAAGAGTGAATGGAGAAGGAAAAAAGCAAAACCAGTCATGAGGCTGTTCTAGAAGTGTCTTTATTATCTGCCATCCACTCCAAGTGTCGCTCAAAGGCAAGCAGTCTGTTGTCCATCAGCTTTAGCCTATCCTAAACGCTTTCACCACTGCTTCCATAAAGATGAGACAGGTATGAAGGGGGTTATCCCCCTTTGCTTTGCTCCTCAACGCTGCTTTCCCTAATTTGCCAAATCTGGTCACTGAGTTGTTGCATCCGAAGAGGACAGGTATTGCTATAAACCATCAATATTAATGATGTATTGTTGAGAAGAAAGGCCTCGGAAGCCATGCCAAGTGAACGTCTGTGGAGTAGTTTGAGTTTTGGCTCACGTATTCTTTTGAGTGAGTTTTAGCCAAACTGCTTGTGTCAGTTTTACAGACCCAGGGTGGTCTTAAAGACAAGAATGTTAATGGCTTCTTCCTGTCAAATTAGTTTATGACCAAAAGTTTCTTTTTTTTTTTTTTTTTTAAACTACCAGCAATGATAGCATTAATCTAAACAAACCTGTCCCCCTGAACTGCTCCTGGCAAGTGAGTCATAGCTGGTGTAGGCAGAGATCTGCGGGTTATCTTCAGGACAGACCTGTGGCCCTGGGATGGGGAGAGGGTGTGCTGTTAAATCACTGGGCTGCGGTGCTCCTGTGCCTTCTCACACCTTACAGAGATAGCAGTTGAGTAACTCAAGACATATGGCTGGACTGAGGAATAGAAAGGGCTGTAAAACCAGAGCATCAAATAAGGATTGTGAACAGACTTCCCCTGATGAGCCCATAGGAAAAAAAAAAAAAAACAAACAACAATAATTGAGCAACCTGTTTGTTGTGATGGACACAGAGCATTTCTCTGTTTCAATTTTTTTTTTTTGCTTGTAACCCTAGCATCTGGTTGTCAGTCATAGCATGTGGCCCGTGGTGTTTTGAGAGTTTCAGTGCTTGAGGTATGTGAAGAAAAGGAGTAAAAAATTGTTTTATCTGTGTTTTATGCCATCACGTCTTTTGTGAGTTGACTGAACAAAGCAGCATTCAGGCAGTGAAAAATTAATATATACAGATAGCATGTTCTGGTTGCTTTGTAAAAGGTATGATATAACAAAACAACAGAATTTTGCATTATGAAATGTGACAAGAAAACATCTATCAGGGTAGCTTGTCCCTTCGAGTCTACATGGTAGAGAATCCCTCCTTCCATAGAGGAGCTATTTTCAGAATAAAATGAACTTGCTAAGTTGAGTCAGCAAACGTTCTGGTTGTGTAGCCAAGCAGCTATGATGGACCTGGAATTATCCCTACTTTTCTTCCCTCTAGGCAGCCATGCCCTCTGCTGAGGACTCTGCATTTTCTAGCTGTGAGGATTTTCCTAGTGAGGAACTTTATCACCTTTTCTCCATTTTAATAGTGATTCTACCAGGAATAATAAAATCCTTCAGCTCTTATGCTGAAAGCGTTTTCATTGCCTCTAGGAGTGATCTATTAGGAAGCATTTTACACCTTTTGCTAAGCCCTCTGAAGGACTAAAAATAACCAACCAAACAACAAAACACAAAGCAAACTGCAAGAAGTCTGCTTGCAGAAAGGCCATTCATGCTTTTGGTAATATTACTGTTTTCAGCTTGAAAGGGGAGCATCTCTTTGCAATAGCGTTATAGAAGAATGAGCTCCACGTGTGAAACTTCCCCCAAAGGAATGAATTATTGCATTATTCTTATGTTATTATCCTCTGCCTTGATACTTTTTGTTCATCTGGAATAAAATAAATGAATACCTGCAGAAAGCCACAGAGGCTTTCCGGGGCTGGAAACTAAGAATAAGCTGTAATTGAGTATAGAAATCAAATTGTGCCAGCATGTTTAGCTTCTTCAGTGTGTTTACTTCAGAGTAGTAACAGCTTAATAAGAGTTCTTAGGAAGATTGGTGCCTCAATCACTTAGTGTGTTTGCTGCACGTGTATTTACATCTCAGAGATCCGTGCCACAGAAATGCTGAAGCAGAGCTGTCTGTTGCTGGCACACTTACAAAAAGCAGGGGCAGAGCGGTTGCTTGCTGTGCCCTGATGACCCTCAGAAATCCATGTTATTAATAGGTGTAGTCACAGCTCCATGTTAATTATGAGGTGCTTCTCACTGCAGTCATTAATAACCGGTGGGCTTTCCTATACAGAAAAAAAGGTACCATTTGTTTAGATCTTAGTGGGAACTAAATTATCTTTCAGCGTATGCAGAGATACAGCAGCAGATGTGACCTTAGGCTGTTATGAGGCTCTGTGAGAAGCCATAACCTCTTGAATCCACGTGGAATTTTGTACATCTCTTGAACTTTAGAGCAGAGGGAATACACCTGCTTGTTCCGCCTCTGACTCTGTGTGCTGGGTTATTCTTTGGTATCCTCACTGCAGGCTGGCCGGTTGATTTTTCAGGATGCATGTTTTGGGGTGCACTGCCAGTCATTGTAAAGAGACACTGTGAAGTTGCCTGCTGTGATGTCCTGCTGCAAAGCTGAGAAAAAGAGCCGTAATGCTGTCAGCTGGAGTTATTTAAAACCTATTGCAATTTAATAGGATTATCAAATAATCTGCTTTTATCCGTGTTTACTAATACGTAGTCAGAATTTTTTTCCTCCTACGATGAGGGGAGCTGTGCTGTTCTTGGGAAGAAAACATCTCCATGTGGCTGCAGACACAGCTCTCCCTGCTGGGCTGTGCTGGCACTGAGTGGACGCTGGGAAACAGCAAGCAAACAGTATCTATAATGCTGGTAGTTCAGGATCCTATCATAATAAAGCTAAAATAAGGGAAAATGCATGCATCGTAGGGATAGAGTTTGATTCTCAGTGCCATCTGATTTTACTTGTGTGATCATCAACCACACGCCCTGGTGGTGACTGCAATCAGAGCAGGGCATGGGAGTTCATCTGAAGCCTTTATCTGTCAGTACTGCGGCAGATGTGAAAGCTTAGCTAGAAGGAACCCAGAAATACTTAAATCTGCTCTACTGGAAGGGTGGTGCCATCAGAACCTACAACGCTATTAATAATTCTTAAGGGCCGTGTCTTCTGAAGCACATACTGTTTCATCTTTATTAATAGAAACTGCATTTTGGAACTAGAACGCCGCTGAGATCTTCTTATTTGTTTTTAGGGGAATTTGGACCTTCCTCTTGAGTTCCAAGCAACTTGAGTTGAAGTTCTGTCTGTCTGCAATGGAAAGATGGACAAAAAGCGTTCTGGCTTCATTTCCATCCCATGTTAAGTTATGGTCCATGCGTGCTCCGTGGCCTTGGATTTGGAATAGAGCATGCGTAGATTTTCAGATGAAGCCTCTGTTAACCAGATAAAAATGTGCATTTCAGAAGCAAAATACATCTGCGTTGCAGCATGGCAAGTTCAAAGCCATTCGGAGAAGTTTATGGGAAGCAGCTGTGGGTTGTCTTTGCTAATTAGGAACAGAGCACGCTGAGGACTTGACACAACAGGTTTACACAGTACGATTAGGTAAAGAAAGTTAATGTCTGCTTTTAATAACAAGAGCAAGTAGCAGAGGTGGCAAAGTATTTTTAATGACATCATTTGCCCAGCTGTTTTACACATCTGTAACCCAGGACGTCGTTCCAATTCTGTAACACTTCATCCTTGCTCTTCCACACCTTTGGGATAAGGGATAAAGTTACCTGTCTGGGGGAGAACAGCCTGGGCAACGTTTGCATTTGTGGCCAGTTATCAGCATTGGCCGTGTCCAAACATTGGCTAAACCTATATATTTTTCAAAGTACTAATTACTTCACTGTGAATTTGGCACTTACGCAGATCCCTGTGCTCTTGGCCAGGCTTACATCTAGGAATGAAACATTTGCAGCAGCTGCGAAAATGTTTTTACTTATTTAGAGCATTCTAATATTTTATAGCCGTGAATAATGACAAGCCCATGAATCAGACATCAATTTGCAGTGTTAGATGCTTCCCCCTGTGATGTCTTAGACAGTGATGGCACGAGGGCTGTGCCATGGGGCCCTGCTGCATGGCTGCGTGGATGCATGCTGCTCATGTAGGGGCAGGTTCAGCTGATTGGATCCAGTGGGATTTCCACTGAGAGGGCTTTGATGCGGATGCCTTTTTCTTCCTTTTGTAATCTCCATGCAGCTGTGTAGAACTACCTCTGGGGCTCTAGCTGGGCTTCTGTTTCTAAACCTAAGCAGCTTATTCTGCCAAGGTGTTGTGGCCCACTAAAGATGGGCTCACACCTGCACCTGAAGTGTTACCAAGAGTCAACTTGAGGGACTTGATTACCTCTGTGCTAATGAAGAGGAGTTCTCTTTCAATGGGGAACAAGAGGAATGCTGTGCAAAATGTTTGAGAGGTTTGCTGTCACTTTGGAGCAGTGAGTGACTCAGAAAGGTCCCATCCAGCTGCTTCACTTGGTTTGCTATTTGGGTTCACTCTCAAATAGCTGTAATGGGTTGGAAAGTCTTGGGTTTTTTTTGTATTTAATGCTCTTTGTGATGTATGGACGTAGGGTATAAAATGTTAGTACATTTACATGCGGTGTATGGCATGCTTTGGGAATATACTTGAGCTGTAGGACTTCATTACTCTGAATTAACCTCTAGTCTGGGAGAGAAAAATACAACAGTAAAGTGTGGTACAAATATATCTGGAGAGAAATATCTGGATGTCTGGAGAGAAATGCAGCACTGACTAAAGCAAAATAAAGCAGGTTCATGGGAGATAGAGTGTGGGTCTGAGAAAGGGGCACTCTTCATTCTGATATAATAGTACAAATCTTGTCGCCTTTCTGTATCACTGGGGTAGGGTTGACCTCAAGATTGGGGGCCAAAATTCATGGCAACGGTGCCTCGTTACTCTCTGGATGATACCAAACTTCAGCAATTAGTTCAGTGCAGATATAGCTGGGCACTGTTCAGCCTGCAGCCCCATTTCATCACAACTTCATTTATTTTCTTGTGTTACAGTGGTTTTGTATGTGTAATTTTATTCATGGATACAGTAAGGGTTGAGCATCATTCTGCTTCATTGCAGGAACGTAAGTATTTGTCAAAATGAGAGGGTTTTCCAAACTGTTAAAGTAAACTATAAAACTCCCAAAAAGGTGGAAAGTCTGAAAACTGCATTTGCTCTTAAAAATAAATTAATAAATACTTTATGATGTGGAGAGGAAAAAAAAAAAAAAAAAAAGAGTCCAGGTGGATAGCAAAAGTGTTAGGAAAATAAGTGAGGACAAATATGGTTTCAGAGCAGGTGTATGGGTTAAGAGAACAGCAGAACATGTTTCTTTGCAGTGACACAGGAGCTTGGACCTTCTGAATTCTCCATGAAACAGGTGAACATGTTTTTCCTTTCAGGCTTATTCAAGAGAAATGTGAGTGATATCAAAACGAAAAAGTAAGAGAAGTGATGATTTGCATCTGTGGGTACTACCAGGCAAAACCAGTGGGATATTTCACGTGCTCTACATATTTTAGAAGTGGAAAACCCTGTCCTGGTGATAACAGCAGAGTCACTGTTACATAATTTGAGTTCTGAATGCTCTTGAACTGTAATAAGAACCTGAGATCAAGATGGGCCAGAAGCCAGGTATGTGAGGAACGTCTCAGGGATGCACTCAGGGCTAATGTTCTCAGTGTTGTACAGCATCCCTGCCAGCCCCTTGCCCACCTCAATGCATGCAGAAGGCTCTGGGGCATCAGCTTTCAATCCTCTTTTCTGAACAAAATCAGTCCCACAGTAGGCACTGTTCCCTGTTCTTGGAAGAAAAGTTTGCTGAAAAGTTGCTAAGTCTTTTAACGCTAACTTGGATTGCTTCATATCAAGACCAAACCTTTCCCATAACTGTATCTTACCTGAACAAAAAAGATTTGTCCCGACACAAGAATCATGCGCGATGCTTTGCGTGCTTTGTTATCCAGGAGGTTACCTAAGTGATCATCAGTTTTCCTTGGTGGCTTGACAGTCTCTTAATGCTTCCTGTTACTTGAAAGTGTATCAAAGCTTTATGACCCCCAGGGAGCACAGCCAGAGGAGGATGCAGCTCAGTGAATGGCAGCAGTGCAGGGCTGCCCGGGGCCCAGCTCAGGGCTGCCCATGGGGAGCACGGCCAGCTGCCAAGCCGTGCAGCGGGCGGCTGTTTTCATTGAGAATGCAGCCCGAGAAGTTAAAACCTTCTGAGTTTTTAAAGTCAGCTGGAGAACATTATAGTCACGCAGAACTGAAGGCAGACAACTCGTTAAAATTAGCGTTGGCCGTAATTAAAAACATGCCGGGGGAAAAAGTCTATGAGAAGAAACAGACTCTTGGAAAGCTCCTGACACAGCTACATGTCTAAATGGAAACATAGCTTGCTAATTGATTTAAACGATTGCCCGGCTCCTCCCTGCTCACTCCCTGCAGCAGGTACCAAAGCTGCCCTCCCTGCGGGCAGCCAGGCTGGGCACAGCCCCTTTCCCTGCCTGCCTTCTGCAGCCCTGCAGCTGGAATCCCTGGGGCTGCATGCTGCCCATGGCTGCGTCCTGCTCTCACTGAGAACATGAGCGTGCACATAGGAAGGAGGATTTTCAACTCTGAGTTAAGCCTTTGCAGTGGGTGCCAGTGCTGACTGTTGGTAGCAAATAGCAATGATTTGGCTGTGCTTGTTGTATCATCGGGTCAATTTGGAGCGTCATTGCTAAAACAATGCCACTACCAGCATTTATAGCTGCACGAGGAATGCGCATAGTTTCTCTGCTGATTATTGCAGTGTTTTGTTTCCTTTTGTTCTGTGCAAAAGACCCAGTCCTTACACAGGTATCTTACATGCTCCTCTGGTCATGCTTCCTGAAAATGAAGCAGCACTGGGGCTTCAGTTGCATCGTGTTGTGCTGCTTGCTGGCAGCACATGGCCAAGTAGCCTGGGTGAATCCCGTTCCTTGCTGTACTACCAGGCATGATTTTGTGGTGCTGCTAATCTTACATCCATCCTGTCCCATTTAGCTGAAATTTTTATTTCCTTGCTATAGCCTATGGTTAGGAAGTGTACCTTTCCACACATCATCATTCATTTTTCTATTGGCTTCCATTGTATAATGCAGTATGAGAGTGAAAAACTCTTCTAGTGCCAGTCTGGAGAAGCCCCATGTCATGTTGTCATGCTCAGTTTTGGGGTTTGTGTGTGTTTCTATGAAGATAACAAACCCTGCTTCACAGCCTTACATAAGGCCTACTGGCTTCAATTATGTGTTGTAACTCAATGACTACCCTATTAAAATCATAATGCAATTTATATTGGCTTTTATTGCACGTTGTAACATGATGATAGGCCCTTTTCATGTGATGCCTTTTGGCTTTTTTAACAAATCAAAATGTAACAGCCCACCTTTTTATATTCTAATGTAATGAACTCTTTCCACAGCTCCGTCTGATGCTTATTGGCTTCTCTGAGAGATCCTATTCCTAATTTAATGAGTCCCTCTTCACATCATAATGTAATTCATATTGGCTTTTACAGCATATCCTCGCACGCCGGTGCCAAATCATATTGTGTCATAAAGCTAAGTGGCTTCTAATGGACATCACACCTCAGTAACCCTGTCACACGTTGTAACATTTTTGTCTGCTTCTCTAACACATTGCATAAGTCCAGTGCTTCTCCAGAAAGCCTGCTGCAGGCGTGAGCCGCGGGTTTTAGGCAGCAGGCGGCTGCGGCCCTTGCTGAGGCTGCAGGCTGTCGTGCTCTGGCTGTGTGTCACAGGGATGTTTGAAGGGATGCTTTAAAGAAACGCTACCCGCCTGACTTTAACGACTCCCTTGTTCCTGTTATGGGTTATTGCACAACGAACGCCTTCAGATCTATTTCTCCGCGCAAGTATTTTTAAGCTCGCGTAGGGTTTACCTTATTTAAATTCTTAATGAGGCATGTATTTGCTTCTTTAACCAAATTATGCTAAGATTTTTTTTTTTTTTTTTGCGTTCCAGAGTCCATTCTGGACTTTGATATTTTCTGAGGAAAGGCTTTCCATAGTGAGAAAATTAAATTCCTTTCTCAGTGTGTATTACTGGCAGAGTGCTGTTTTCTGAAGGCAGCAGAGGTGGTGACACACCATCCCTGCCCCACAGCAGGACCTGCTATCCCAGAGTTCATGGGTAAGTTCACTGCTTCACTGACATCTGACGGAGCTTTCCAGTGTTCTTCAGAAGAAAGAGATACAAAAATATTTACTTGTTCTAGGCAGGAACGTCATATAACGTCTCTTTCAGAGCAAGCACTGACATCTGCTGTTTATCAGTCTATTATTTGTTCCTTTTAGGAGTGTGTAGTCCTTGTGTCTCAGGTAGCTCTCAAATCTTTTCAATAGCATCGTGCTACAAAGCATACACTAAAGGTGGGATTTATTTTTCCCAACTTCAAATATCTGTGTCTTATCTATTCCCCTTAGGCGTCATTTGTAGGTGCTAGAAAAGACAATGTCAATAGATAATCACATATTTAATTATAGAGTTACTTTTAGGTGGGCCGAATTGCTTTCTGAAGAAGATTTATTTCCACTGTTTGCGATGAGGCTTGATGAGTATTCAGATGGAGAATCCCACTCTTGGAAGATGAATATTCACGAGAGTACTGCAACCAGGTACTGGCAATTCCTATTTTGATTTTTTTTAAACTCTCCATTGTATCTTCTATGCTTTTGTAGTTTCCAGCACCACGTAACAGCTTATTTTTTTTTCCTCCTTTTCTTACCTGTTCTTTGTAGCTTGTTCCCACGCACCACCCGATGTGTCCTACGTGGTTCTGGCTGAAGCTGGGTGCTGCTGATGGCTTTCCATAGGGTCTTCCTTCTCTGGGTCCCTGACTAATTGGTGAAGTGCAGTTCGGTGACACAAACACCTGAGCGCATGCAGTGCTGAGAAAGCAGGTGCACTGAGAGGCCACCGAAGGATTAGGGATTTGGACACACTCCTGGTCATTTCTTAGCGAGCTGTGCATTCTCTTCCCAATTCTCCCTGGTGCTGTAAAAGAGAAATCCTTGGCCAGGATTTCAGACTGAAGAAAGACATGTTCCTTCTGAGTTATTATGATAAGTCTTTATAAATCATTCATTTCATTTATTTGCACTACAGTTTATAGATCTGATAGGAGTTACTTTATAACTGAGCTTCTTTTAACACCGTGATAGGATTTAATTCCCTATAAAAAGGCAGGTCATTAATTTCTGGCTTTGTATGGGGCAACCAATTCTAACCAGAGAAATACAAACTTCCAATAGTATTGCCTCTGCCCTTATTCAGATCTGAAGCTGGAATAGCTGGAAAAGCCAGATTGGATGGGGCCCTGGGCAGTCTGGTCTAGCATTAGGTGGAATGGTGGTGGCCCTGCATGTGGCAGGGGGGTTGGAGATTCATGATCCTTGAGGTCCCTTCCAACCCTGGCAATTCTGTGATTCTGTAATAGCTCAAGTCTCTTCTGTGGGCTGGGTTTGTCAGCTGAATCGTGTTGTCATTGACTCATGGTGACCTGATCTTCCAAGGAGGTGTATTTTGTTTTAGTGGGAGGGAAGATCATGGTACACAGTAGAGACCATGGGTTCAGAAATGAGTTTCATGGTGTGTAGCAGGGGCGGGGAAAGTAAGCTCCCCTAAAGCCAAGTTTGTTTTCATCCACGTGTGGACTCCTCTGGACGTCTCCTAATCCAGTCCCTACTGCATGCTGGGTCCTCTGGAGAACATTGCTCACAAGCAAGTCCAGTCAGGTCTTGAGTTATCCCTGAAGATGGAGATGCACTGCTTCCCTGGGCAGCCTTCCTAGTGTTTGACCATCTTTGCTAGCAAAACTAGGTTTTTCTCATCTTCAGATGACTTTCCTTGTTTCAGTTTGTGCTCACTGCCTCCCATACTGTCACTAGGCACCTCTGAGAGGAGCCTTTTTTTTTTACTCCTCCTCTGCCCCATCAAGTATTTATACACATGGAGAAGGTCCCTGAAGTGTCTCCGTGGCCTTGTACTGGACAGCTGACAGCTCTTAACGTTGCATAAACCTTTGTGTCCCCTCGTACTTAGCTTTGCATGAAAGCACCTGCAGTCACTGAATGCCAGCCATCAGCAGAGTTCATTTTTCAGCAGCTTATATTCAGTGTGATAGCTTGTATGGCTGGGGTCAGTGCAGCATTGCTGTGCAAACATGCTGGCAGTACTGATATAAAAAAGAAAACCTATGTGCTGTGTGAAGACAAAGGTGACTTGAATAGACAAATGTAAAATCCAAAATCATAATTGTGTTGATTTGGTAGATGCTGGTACTGGAGCTAAAACTGGAAGAACAAAAAAATAAAAGGAAAAGTTTAATGGTGTCTTGTCTTTCCAGGAAAGGAACATCTCCTTGTCTGCCATGGTAAATGGTTCTGCAACCCCAGATAACATGTCCTGTCCTCCAAGGAGGACAAGAGCCATGGAGGGCTGGCTGTGACATCTTCATGGATCATCAGCACTGCTCTCAGAATGGTAGGTGCTACTGGAAAGTGTAGGAGATTCTTTCCTATCTCTTCTGGTTTTATAGACAATCAGTACTGAGTCTCCAGCAGTCCTGGCTAGCTTGCCTGAAGCAATTAAGAATAACACATTGTTGAAGTGATTTTTATGAGCCCAGCACAAGTGCAGGGGATGATTTTATGGGCTAGCACATCCTGAGGGGATGAAAAGACATGTGTTTCCGTGAAGCGTTGTGCTTGCTGCTCAGAGAGCTTCTGTGGGCAAATGAATTAGGTTGTGGGACAGAAAGCACGCAGTGGTCTCAAGCCAGAAATGTTGCTCTCTCTGTACTGGAGACAGTGTCTCACAATGTCCTTCCTCCAGGGCAGGCTGTGGATCTCTTTTCTCCTGTTAACTGAGCCCAGAGGGAAAAAAAAATAGCCAACAAATGTGTTGTTTGAGGAAAGGATCCATCCCCTGCAAGGGCTCTCCTGGGCACCTTCACCCATCCATGTCAGTGTGCAGTGCAGTATTGGGGCACATACGGTTCTGGGATGCTGATAAAGCATGTGGCATCTCTTCAGATGAGGATAGGAAATATGCTTTAATAGCTTTGCCTTTGTGAAGATGCACATCTTATGGGCACAGTGTGGAGAGAATGCTGGGAAATAGCTGAGAGGAAAGCAAACAATGTATGATTAATTAATCAAAAGGATGTAATTCAGTGAGTAGAATTATGCTAGCAACAAATTACTTATAGACTAAATAATACCCTGAGGATGCAGGGTTTGATAATGCAGACACAGGGAAATTTATAGGGAATTATCTGCAAGCTAAAAGTTTGAGCCTCATCTTGTACACAGGTAGTATGTGATGGAAGCTGATTATATGGTCACTGTGATCTTTGCATGCAAACATGATAGGGTAAGTCTTTCACTTTTCTGAGTAATGTGCTTCTGCTGACCTTCTACTAATCTTTTCTGCTTAATCCTCCTTTTTCTTAACAGTACTTAATAGCTTCCTATTGCAGAGTGAATCTGCAGGACTTCTAGGTGAAGTTGGTTGTGCAAAGGATAGTTGAAATATTTAATGAGATTTTTCTTCCCTGTTTCACGTCTTGGGATAAAAATGGTATTCCATGAACTGGGGAATAAAGCCATGTCTTTAGGGGCAGTTCCTCAGTAATGTTGGGGAAATCTCCCCGAAGAGCTAAGCATGCTCTGCCCCAGTGATACTGGCAGAGTTGCCTCCTAGTTTCTTTGAAACATAATTTGTGTATGAGCGTTGTGTTTTGGGTACAATGTCATACAGGAATTTAGTTAGGCAGCAGTCTTCCTCATTTTTCTGTAAAGTAGCACTATTTAGTGTTTTCTAGCTATTTTTGAGTCAAACATTCAATGGATGATCCCCAAGTTTTGGGCAAGTATACAAAAAAAGCATACTTGACTGGCTCAGCCTGCCCAGTCAATCATTGGTGAGGCTGCAGCACTTCTAAGCACGGGCTCAGTTTATGGCCTGAGGTCAGGGAACAAGTGATGTGCTCTTGCAGGATACTTCTCCCTCCAGCCCCTGCAGTGCCTCCTCCTCCAGCTGCCACCCTTGCCTTTCAGTCTGACATTATGCATGGCCATGGCAAAGCTGGAGAGAACCACCTACACTGGTGCAGTTCTGGACAGGGTTGCGGGGTCCCACGTCCTCCCACAGGAGCAGAAACATATCCTGGATCTTTCCCCTGTACTGCAGATAGATCCAGAATGTACTAGACTTAGAAACAGGTTGTGCAGAATTTGATGGTTTGTTTTTTTTATTTATCCTAAGCTCCAGTCTTAGGAGTTACTTCATTTTACAAGTTGGAGAACTCTGCATGTCGTTGGTAAGCTTAGATAATTTATTTACTAAACTCTTCTGGCTGCTTAGATACTGAGCTGGTTTGTGTATTCAGTTCAGTTATGAAACTGTTTTGGCTGCAAGCATATCCCTTAGGTACAATAAGAAGGAGTAAATATCAGCCTCTCTGCTTGCATGGCATGGCCTTTTGGGAGCCTTCCCTGCGCCCCTCTGCAGAGCAGACTGGCAGCAATCCTGCAGAAAGGAGATGGCATGTTGCTGTGGTGACAGCAGGCAGCAGAGGTCTCAACCAGCCCCAGTAGGCATGCTGAGTAATAGATAAACACAGCATCTCCCTCTACAGGATTGCAGTTCAGTTTCAGTGTGCATCAAGGTTTGCCCATGCTGCAGAATCCTGGTGCAGGTAGGTGGTGGTGTGTGCATTGATGTTCCTTATCTGAGGTGTGGAGGGCAGGGGAGTCTCTGTGAGGCCAGCATCCCCATTGTCTCCACTGCTCCCTCCACCCAGCAGCCTCTCTCCTCTATGGATCATTATACTAAAAAGAAAAACAGTGTTTGGCATGATCAGAATCATCTTTCCTGCTATTCTGATGATATGTGAGCTTTTGCACCAAGCCCAAGGGGAGCACAAGAAAATCAGAGCATGGCAAATAGCACCACTGCTCTCTGTCCATAGCAGAGCTTGCAGAGCCCCATTTGTGCTCCTCACGTTGCAGAGCAGTTTCTATCTCCTGCTGCTGCTGGGTACAAGCTGAAATGAAAACATCTTTGCAATTCCCTTTACATTTTTTTTTCCCAGGATGAGGCCTTTTCCCTGCTGCAGGAGTTGCAGACTTCAGTGCTGACTGCTGGCTGTGCCAAAACAAACCACCTGCTTGTATGCAGCCCAGTAACTCTCTTGTGCAAACATCTGCCACTCGGTGCTGAGATGTGCTGCAAGGGCTGTGCTCACAGCGCCGTGGTCCTGACACCTTCTGCCTGCCCTGCCAACAGGGCTGCTCTTTTTTCTGGCTCCACGCTTCCCTGTACAGAGCTGACTGGAGGAGGGAAGAGCAGACTTGGGGCTGTGCTATGGGGAAGACCAGTGTTCTGCCAGTTCTGCATAAAGGTGGGAATCTGCAGTTAGAGCTGGCTGATAGCAGAGCGTTGCCTTCTGGACGTTTCATTGTTAAAATGAGAGGCTTAAGGGGAATTTAGAGACACATTTGCAGTGGTGATTTTTTAATGGGACTTAATTTGTCATCTGTCTTGCAACTGATAAATTAAAAGCATATAGAACAGAGGCATGAAAAGGTTGCCAGCTTTAGACTGCTTGCTGTGCAGCCAAGATTTTCTACAGCTGTGATCTTGGAAGGCATAGATATTGATAAGGAAGGGGATGTGTGCATTTGTTACATGGCAAGGGTGCTGTGCAACCTATCCAAGGTAGAGAGAGATTGCTGCTTGATGTTTGATATAAAGCCAGATATATTAAACTTAAAAAACTTCCAATTAGATAAAATCAGGAGAGCAGTAAGTGGAGCAGACTGGCACTATTTCTCAGACAGTGGCCTATGAAGGAAAATTGGCTGAGCTTTAAAGAAGTGCTGGAGCTGGCTCGGAGAGTGAATATATCTTTACTTAAAACTATACATAAAACTTTTAAACCAATGCGGATGAGTGATAAGCTGTTAAAGTTAATTGTGAGAGCATACAGCTCTAAAATACACAGAGAGCAGTGGGTGATGGGCTGCCAGGGGAACTGTGAAGCTGCAACACAAATGGAGGATGTGAAGGGCAGAATGGAGAGCAGGTAATTATGGCCATTAAGCTGCAGAGAATGTTGGTGTTTGAGCACTTTCTGTGCTGAAAGAAACAAAACCAAATGCCTGCACCCTGCCCCTCCTGCTGTGTTATTTCCATTAGATGCTCTACCACTAAGTGCTGCACTTACCAGGAACAGTAACACACCTGTGTTGGTTTACCTGTTACAGCTGTTGGTATTAATAGTAATTTATATCCATTATTAGGCCATAATATTTATATAGCTACTATAAGATAACGTGTATAATTATATATTGTGAGCTATAATCATGGAGTAATGTACATTGAGATGTCAAAATAGTACATCTATTATATAGCATTGCATGTACTTACATATGTATATTATGTAAATATGCCTGTCAGTGATATGTAATTCTGTAGGAGACTGTTACAGGTTCATCACATGCAGCACTACATGTCACATAGTGCACTGTTACAATAGTTACTGTTTATACCCCATATGGCAGTACCAGCTGCTGGCCCCCAGCAGGCTGCAGGTAAATACGTGTTGGGAAACAGCTTCACTCATTGCATTTTTTCAGCTTTGCTTCAGGTTAAGTTTCATGCATCCAGTCATGAAGGTGCTGCTCAGTGTGAGGATGGGTTGGGATGCTTAGGTAACCAGCAATTGTGTGAGCATCTCTGTATGAGGAATTTCAGTCAGGTCATTGTGGTAATTAGAACCACCTACTTTGATGGTTTTTTCTTTTTAATTAAAGCAAGCTGGAGGACACCATGCCAGGAAAGAGACATTTGCTGGTTGGATTTATGAAAAGCATCTGAAGTTTGGCTTGATTCTTCTGTCTTGCTATTGATGTGCGTATTGCTGATATGGGCAGTTTGCAGAATGCCTAAATAAAACAAGACTGAAAACCCCAGTATGGCTGGTAAGGAAAAGGCAGCCGTCTCTCTCTGGAAGATGTTGTTTTGTAGCAATTGCCATTGGTATTCATTCACTGCGTTACTTCAAGTCATAGAGCTTTGTGCATTTATTTTACAGGGATTTTTCTAATCTCTGAATGCTCTTCCCTCTTATACTAGGAACAGATCCCCTGATAATATGATTCCAGATCCACTCATCACGCTTCCATTTAGGACTCAGTTTGCTGTACTGCTGTACTTGGAGCAGTATGGTGCTGCCATTAGCAGTCAGTGCTCCTAGTGACCAGGGCATGCACTGTGCCATATAGCTCTGCTCTGTGCCCACTGATCCACGCATCAGTGCTGTCCTGAAATTCAAGCAAATTGAATATCTCACACTCAGAGTTCCTTGGGAACCATTTCCACCAGTCACCACTTGGGTCTTGGGGGGGATCTAACAACAGCCTTACCTACTGTAGCACTGGGAGCTAAATATTCAGGTGTAGTACTGAGGGATGTGGTTTAATGGGGAAATAATGGTGGTTGGTGGGCAATTGGACTGGATGATCTCGGAGGTCTTTTCCAACCTTGGTGATTCTGTGATATGTTTCGTGATTGAGTTTCATTGTAGGGCGCTACTGTAGGTCAGGAGGAGATGGAGGGTAGGGAACAGGTGTGTGAGATCCATAAGGATAATTCTGCTGGAAATGTGAAGGTCACAAAGTGAAGACTGTTCCCACCCAAACTCATAGCTGTTAAGCTACAAGGTTGAGTATCATCACCTTCAACATATTGCTAAGTGATAGTGGGTATTCTCCTGTGTTGGCAGTAGAGTTTGGGCTTACTGAAGCAACACTGTATTTTCTTCTTGCTGAAGGAGAAGATCGTGATGACTTGCTGAAGCATTAAAGCTTTGAAAGAGATAACTTCAATGAAGAAGCACCTTTCTCCACTCCCTTTCTATGATAACAGTGGTAAAGGCTTTGTGTTGCTGTAGTAATGGAGAACTAAGTGTAGTCTAGAATCTGGAGCAGTGACTGCTAATATTCATGGCAGTTTGAACAGCTGAATGTTCTGTAAACGTGCTTCTGGTCAGCATTTTTTTCTTCTGAAGAATTACAGTCATGGTGTTTGCACTTTGAGACCTCATCCAAAGCCAGCCAGAGCTGAGAATGCATTTGGAAAATGCAGGAAGACATAGGGTTTAATTTTTAGGAAGACCTTTATGGAGCCATGAGTTGGACTCAAAGGGACTTCTGGGTCTGTTCCAACTAGGGATATTTTATGATTCAATGGTTTTCTTTAATTGCATTTTTTCCTTGTTGCTTTCCATAGGGCGTGTGATGATGTGTACAAATGTGTAACTAAATAGAAAATATTTTTGAGTAAAACAGAATTGATTGCTGTATGTATTAATTGAAACTAGTTGGAAGTCTGAAATGGATTATGCTGCTGTTTCAGACTTATCTAACTTCACTGTAACATAGGAACTGTCATGTTCTAGAGCGTGAGCCATGACAAGCCTGAAGGTCCAGCAGTGTCCAAGTAACTTTTGAAGAAGCAGCACAGCCTCTGCCTGCAGCATTTGAGATGGCTGAAGGAGGAGAACAAGAAATGCACGGTCCCTGTTGCATCAAGGTGAGGGTTGTAATGTGTTGGAGTTCTGGGGAATTTTTCTGGATTTCATGCTGTCTTCTCTAGAAAGCAATGAGAAAGAAGATTAACTTAAATCAGTTCTCTGAAGGGTCTAAGTATTATGATAGTGAGGTCTTTTTTTTCCCTTAGTATTTCTTCTCTTGGACTTTCTGCAGGTTGATCTGTTTCCAGAAGCTCCCCGTACTTCAGGATACACCTTGAGGTGCCAGTTTTTACACATCTTTAGCCCCGCCAGCGTTGTGCTTCAGCAGGAGCCTTGGCCAAGCTGGTGTTCCCAGTGCCTGCTGCCAGCTCAGAGCTGTTCCCTGTGGCACAGCACGTGTGCCTGTTCTGTTTGCTCAGGTGGGAAAGGTGTTGATCAGGGACAGAGAAAAAACCTTTTAAAACAAGTTGAATGTGGGGACCAGTGGTCATCATTTCTCTTTAGAGGCTGAGAGCTCTTGCTGTTTATGGTCTGTGTGCTGGTGTTTGGCACTTTGTCCTCTTTCGTCTGACAGTAGCAAGAACTGACGTTCTTTATTTTACTCAGAATCATGTTTTTGGGCTTCCGATCTCTTAAATCCTGTCATGGCTTTTAGTCTAGAAGGGAGCAGAAGTATGTTTTTGAGAACTCAAAGCTGCTTTAAATCACAGCAATAATAATGCCCAGGCAAATAACCATTACGGTTAGCTAACTGTAATAACGGCAGATCTTGGCTTTTTGTTTTTTAGCACTTTTAAAAAGAGCAGTCAATCCAGAATAAACTCACCATTGATTACTCTGATTTACATCCATTTAGCAGAGCAGAATCTGACCCTTGTAATACATTCCTGGGTTTTAAGAGCAGGAGAACTCTCAGCAACGAACCCAGTTCTACAGCAAGAAAGCCACGGTCTTCTAGATGTTAACGCAGCAGCCCTCAAGAGATGCTTACAGTGAGATATGTTGCAAGGTCACTTTGCATTTTACCATGCAGTGACATTGTGAGTTCTGACAATTCCTGTAAAGAAACTCCAGAGCACGTGGTATCTAAAAGCAGCCTCTGGCGTAGCCACTACTACCAGTTCTCCCGAAAAAATGGGAGCTGGACTTTGCACAAGTGTTTATTGTAAAGTTAGCTGGGCAGAAAGCTTGTGACTCAGGCTATGGCTGGTGGGAGGTATTACTCAGCTCCGTGTGAACCCTCAATAAAGTTCAGTACAGTTTTTAAGCTGTGGTTTTGGCCAGGTTTTGCTTTTTCTGCGTCAGTTGGTTCCTTCTTTGTTTGGACCATGGTTGATTTAAACATTATTTTTATGAGTGGATCCATTGACTGTTTTGACTGTGTTTGGGTTTTTTTTTTTTCTTTTCTTTTTTTGATCCTTTGGTTAGGAATAATTTGGGGGAGGATGATTTAAATAAGGACTGATGTGTCTTGGCTGGGCTTCCAGTGGCTGAGGAACACATTCTTCAGCACTGTCTGCCCCTCCTTCGTGGCTGGCCAGGATGTTGAGCATCTTGAGATCCAGAAGGCACTTGTTTTTCTCCATAGGGACACCTGGTATATTTTATGACAAAGGCTTTATACCAGCTTTAGCTGTCTGAACCTACACTGCTTCTTCCAAGAATTCCAGGAATTTGGGATAAAAAGGGGAATTCCAGTGTCTCCTTAAAACGTAAGCAAATGAATGAATTTAAGCTTTACTGTATGTAAGCTTATTTATTTTAATTCTCATGCACTTTTTTTGCTGTAGTTATTCTGGTAATTTTAGAAAAGATGGAGAAGATCACAGGTCTGGGGAAAGAATATGAATTTTTGTTAAGCAAAATGCAACACCCTGTATGAAGAGAAAACAACTGGTGTGGTTGGGGATGTGGCCTTAGGGTGAGGATCCCAGACTTGCATCATTCTTTCTGCTCTCACGTGTTTCTTTAGGAGAGCCTTCTGACCTTGTTGAATGTGAGGATCTTCCTTTTCACTGATTCACTCCATAAACAACTTGTGTTGTGATTCATTCACTGAGGGATATGGATGTAGCGAAGCCTTACTAATGCTCCAGGAGTTTTAACTGTGTTTCAGATACTGCGAGGGCTTCAGGAGTATTGGAAAGCTTTTGAAATCTTCAGTGCTTGCACTGTAAGTCTTTGAAATGTAGAAAACCCTCTTGGGTCAGCTGTTTAGGATACTGGAGCAGAGTGGAGAGCTGATGACATCATCTAGATAAAGAAGAACACCCAACCTGCAATGCACGTAATGGTACAAGAGCCTGCTTGGCGGATTCCCCTTGAAAAGCTTGCAGCTATTTCCATATTGAGTCCCACCCACACAACCATGGGGACTGGGCGCTGAGCTGAACATCACCTCAGCCAGAAGACCTTGCATGAACACACAGTGGAAGTGAAAAATGAGCCCCTTTATTTTAACAACACTTCCGACCTTTAAAAAGAATAAAATGGAAATGACAATTATTTTTCTGTCTCTAAAGAGAGAAACTTTTTTTTGCAAATCTTTTGGTTTGATGACTAAGGAGCAAAAGTTCTCACCACAGATACAGCTCTGTGTTGGTTCCACTGCTGGCTGGTCTGATTTTTGAAGGGCTGGGATATGCCTGATAGGGAGCAAAGCTACTGGAAAGGAGTGGGCTGTTTGTTAAAAACTAGCTGGTGCTGAACAAATGTAATAGCTGTCTTCAGTGTAATTAATGACTCAGTTAGCACATAAGGGGAATTCGATAGATATTATATTCTTGGCTCTTAGCAAACAGTTGATTTCCTGCCATAAGAAAATCTATTAAAAAGCTGGATATATAGCAAGCAGATACAAATTCCATGGCATGGATTCTGTATTGGCTGACGTGCGGGGAAGAGAGTAATAATGATGCAGAGACCTCCAAGTGTGAAATCCTATAAAGCATTTTTTTTGCAGACGTCAGTGCTGGGGTCCAATTTGTTGTGTCTTTTATATAAAGCATTTCTGCAGTTCCATTTTTGACCCTAAACCAGGCTTTGTAAAATTGGACTTGCAGAATATGTGGTGGAAGTTTCCATTTTGAAAATCCTGATGGAAGACGCTGATTAACCACAACGTGGATGTCCTTTGCTGTATTTACAAAGCAAACACTTCAGTACTGAGCCTGTTCCAAAGCTGCTTAAGTGGTGTTCAAATGGAAACAGTAATGAATATGCTGGTAGTGTCATTGACATGGAGGAGCACAAAGTGGTGGCCACGCGATGGGAGAAGTAAGGAAGGATGTTCTTTGTTTCTTTTCTCTAGGATCTTCAAGAACTGTTGATAAACATCAAGATAATATACACATCAATAAAGATAGTAGCTTTAACAGTTGGAAAAAATAATGTGAGGCACTCAAGTTTTCCCCCAAGTCAAAAAGCTTTGAAACATTCCCGATGTTGAGAATGGTTTCTCTGATTTTCATCTTGCTGAGCAGTTCAGGGCATCAGCGAGGACTTGTTGGTGTCTGGACAGAGGGAGGATGCTGAGAGGAGAGGGAAACCAAGTTGTTAAGATCTGTGAAAAAAGAAGGAATTAATTACTGTTGGCATTGGTTGGTTGTCATCACACTGCCCTTCTTGCATCCCTAGAGCCCAGCTGACTTTCTGGGTTGCTGAGTTGCTGCCTTTCGCTGCCTCCTGCCTGTCACATCACAAACAAGTGGTGTAAAAATCAGTGCAGATTTGGTGGAATATGTTCTTGTGTGTTTTTTTTATTTTAGTAAAATGAATATCTCAGGATGAAAATCCAAATACCTATGAAGTGTGTTACAGCTATCATGGAATGTTTATTTCAAAGACTTTTTCAAAGCCATTCCGATGGGGAAGGCAAAAGGAAATGCAACTTTGGAAAAGCAAATGGTGCATATTAAGAAAAGAGGCATCTAGAAATTTTAAAGAGGGCTAATTTATGAAAGCTGACTTCAATAATGTCAGTGTATAGCTTTCTCTATGAGGACACTCAGGAATTCTTCTGACAGTGAGTGAACAGTCTCAACTTCAGAAGCACAGCCAGCTTCAAATCCATGCACATCATCTTCACTCCATCACTTTGCATCATCTTGTTGTGATCCCTTTGCTCCATTTATTGAAAGCTTTGCTCAGTCTAGACTCGTTGCAGGTGCTGAATCATGTTGATCCACATGAGATCAATACAGATATTAATATGGAAAATAAGGTAGAGTTCTGCCACACTCATTTGAACTTCTTTGGAGCACGATCTTGCATAGGATAGAGTCTCTGCCATGGTAGAGAATGCAGAAATGCAGGAAATAACTCCCACCAGCAGTAGGTCATCCATGTAGCTTGAGAAAGGCTGCCCTGGGGACTCATGTAGCTCAGGTCTCAGTACCATTCAGTATTCTAAAGTGTCAGTAGCTCAGCTGATGTTCCCTTTGTATTGTTGCCTCTTCACTGCTGACAGATAATTTCAGTAATCTTTTTAGGGCAGGTAGCTGGTTAGTAAACAGCCTTTTGGACTCATCTGTGGAAGGCAGGTGGATGTAAAGAGTATTTTAGAAATTGTGAATGTTTTGCTTCCCACTGATTTTCTCCTGTTTTTTGATTCAAACAAGAACGTGATTATTTTTGTTATTTTTTTTTCAGTGTCAGGGATCCTGTTTAACTTAAAAAAATAACACATTAAAAGTTTCTTTCTTAGCAATCTGATAACTGATAAGACTTTGCCTGGCAACAGCTTTCAGCACTGTCTGAACTAGACTGGATTTGTCCCATGCTCTTAATGTGTCAGTATTTCTTTTCCAGACCTTTGAATCAATCATTCCTCTGCTATTTCTCTCTTCTGGTTGCTGGAGATGAGGGTTACCACGTCACATCCTGATTTATAAGATCAAACTTGGTGATTTTCAGTAATTCAGGATATATTTTTGCTTTTGTTGAAGTGAAAGAAGGGATAATCTATCATATCATGACATTTGTTTTCCTTTTCCTTTGTGTAATGCCAAGGGATAGGATTGGAGGTGCCTGCTGGTTCATGTAGCATCCCAGAGCTTCCCACGCAGCTGAAGTTTCTAGTTATGTAACAGGAAATTCTCAAATATGGTCAAAATTCGATTTCTAGCATTTTGGCATGTATATTAAAGTCAGTATGGTTCCAATTCAGACAGTATGGTCTCACATATGTTTTTTGTCTCATATTGAAAGAATTTGTACCAATTTGGCTACATGCATACTCCACCCATAGTTTGCATATTGTCTTCTTCTTATGGTGAGGTTTGCCTGTTAAGTAGAAAGACAAAATATGCTTAAATTACAGAAGCAGAGACAGCTTAGAAACTTAATACATCACAGGTCAGCTAGAGTTTTACTTCAGACCCAGAATGCCACAACTCTAATGTGGGATGAGATATGGGTGTGAACCTTACAGACAAGTGTTTTTCATGGGTCTGTTGTTTACCTTGCCATGCAAGCCAGCTCTTCTTTTCTTTACCTCTGCTTTTATTGTTCATATCTATCTGCATCACAAAATCTCTGAAATATTTATTTTCTTTCTTTCAAAATCGTATAGCTAGAAGAAGGGCTTATCTCAGCCTGTATCCCATCATCAGATGGAGATTGATAGTGTATGGGGGAGTTTGCATAAATTATTTGCATCTCACCAAAACCAACCAACCAAAAAACAAAACCCAAAGCAAAAACCTGAATAAGTGATTGCAGCAGAGGCAGCAGAAAATGCTATCTTTGGTTTGTGGAGGCAATCCTGTATCCCCATTTTGTTCAACGTGGATTGGATGGGGTTAACGTTCTTACTGCTGATGAAAGAGCTCTGCTACCTGTCTCAGCAGTGCTCCACTATGAATGCACTGCTCCTACTGACACATTTTCTCACCCCTCAGTTGTTATTTGAGCAGTGTCAGCCCTCACAAGCTCTACAGTCAGTGCCTGCTTGCTCCAGGTGCTACATAAGCACAACAGAAGGATGCCAAGGGGCTTGCAGACAAAGTGTCTGCATGCTGTTGCTCTTTCCATGAAGCCCCTATTTTGGCTAATTTTAGAAGAAACCATTCTTTCCTTCACAAGACTCACAAACACTGTCAAGGTTTAAGGAAGTTTGTGTCTGAATGCCTTTTTGCAGTAGGTGCAATGAGGTTATCTGTTTTTCAGGAAGATAAGCGCCTCCAGACAGTAAGGAAAACTGCTGGCTCAGGCTTCACCTCCATTAATACAAGTTCAGCCCCTTTCCTCAGAAAAAAATCCTGCATCAAGCCATGGTTTTAACTTGCAGATGGAGTTCTTATCTCAGGACTGAAGTGCTGAAGCTCTCTGACCTCCGAAGGCATCCTTACTTCATGTGGGTGTGACTGGCTGCTTTGCTTTCCTACAGAGATGCTTTAGAGCCCCAGAGTGCTCTGTCCAGAGCCCAGATGAGGCCCTCCTTAAGCTGAATTGATCCGTATCCTACAGGAGGCTTTATCTTTGTTGGAAGAATTCTTAAAAATAAATCTAAATAGAACTGGGCATTTCCATTTAGCCATGTTCTGCTCATTGCAGTGTATAACTGCGTTGCAGAATTAGCTCCTTGGCACCACAAATAATACATAAACCTGTAAGAGGAGGGAGGAAAATGTCTTTTATTTTTAAAAGTTTGTGGGAAGAAGATTTAGCGGGGGGTTTGTGTTATGAAATGAAATTTCTTCACTGTGACTCATAAAAAGGCTGTGTA